GAGCCACGATCGCCCTGAACTCCACAGGCATGAAAACTGAGAATTTGGTAGACTGGTCATTGCTGGTGCACACGGTGAAAGAATTTTGTCAATACGACATGTACGTTTGATTTGGGAACGATTTGTTTCGGGCTGACGTTTCTGTTCATTTTAAGCATCAAAAGTGAGGTGCATGTCTGTGTGCGTGTGCATGGAGCCATTGGGTGCAGTCACTATAGCAACCAGGCTCACACCTGCCTGCCTAACGAGCTCTCTCTCACTCTGCCAAGATTCATCTGAAACACTTCTCTTTCAACGACTGCTGTGTCCACAGTGTTTGCTCTACAGCCATCATTTTACCCTCAAATCATAGTCATCGTTCTTCTCTTTCCAACACCGTGTCTTTCAGAGCTCAGAGATGTAAACCTTTAAAACTGTGTGGATCCAAGTAGAGGGACCACATTTTAGTCATTCAGTGATTCAAAGAATATGTCTTTTAATGTTCATTCAGATAATTTTCCTTTTCTCATTTCTTAGGTTTTTCTAATTTACATTTAAAACATTTTCAGCTATTTTCCAACTTCTTCTTTGTGAACATCAACTTTCAAAAGTTCTGCACTTTTGTTTCAAGGTACTCTGTATTTTCCAGCTCATTCAACATTTTTAGCTTAATATTCAGTCATTAATTCATTTCAGTGCATACATTCAGATTCAAGCATTTACACTGCAGTTTCTTCAGAAAATGCACTTTCTAGTATACATGGTTATGCTGAGGATATGTCGGCCAGTTTCCACTGGAAATGCCTTTTGGTTAAACTGTCAGCAAGGAATTTGCACTGTTACATTTTTATATAATTTTAATGCACATAAAAAAACAGCTGCTTGTTTAAGTGAAAATACATTGATGGGGTTTTTTTTGCACTAATAAAGTTGTGGAGTTGTAAAGTATTTTGTCTAGTGTCAATTATATCGTTATCGCAAATTTTCAAATGTATATCGTGATAAATATTTTTGGTCATATCACCCTGCTCTAGGAGCAACAACACCATGAAGTCCAAAGAACACACCAGACAGGTCAGGGATAAAGTTATTGAAATTTTTAAAGCAGGCTTAGACTACAAAAAGATTTCCCAAGCCTTGAACATCCCACGGAGCACTGTTCATGCAATCATTCAGAAATGGAAGTATGGCACAACTGTAAACCTACCAAGACAAGGCCGTCCACCTAAACTCACAGGCCGAACAAGGAGAGCGCTGATCAGAAATGCAGCCAAGAGGCCCATGGTGACTCTGGACGAGCTGCAGAGATCTACAGCTCAGGTGGGGGAACTATTAGTCGTGCACTGCACAAAGTTGGCTTTTATGGAAGAGTGGCAAGAAGAAAGTCATTGTTAACTAGGGCTGCCACAAACGATTATTTTGATAGTCGACTAGTCACCGATTATTTTTGCGATTAGTCGACTAATCAGATCATCATCCA